TGTTCATTGAAGTTGATAAATAATGTCTCGTTCACACCGTAACTCGTTGTTCATGAAAGTTGATATATAATGTCTCGTTCACACCGTAACTCGTTGTTCATGGAAGTTGATATATAATGTCTCGTCCACACCGTAACTCGTTTGTGAAAGTTGATATATAATGTCACGTTCACACCATAACTCGTTGTTCATGGAAGTTGATATATAATGTCTCGTTCACACCGTAACTCGTTGTTCATGAAAGTTGATATATATAATGGCTAGACCTCTACTATGTCTGTCATATCCTAGCCAGCGTGATTGATATATTTTATTACATTTTCCTTTGCTTTCTGTAAAGTGTTCAAATGACAGTTTCAACGTTTTTATTCAACCAATTTTTTGTAAGTTATTTTAATTCTTATTTTGGATATTTCTGATAACACATAACCCTTTCTTTTTATAAGATTTCACGAACGTTCTTCGTTACTACTAAATTACAGAGATCCACCCAGCAAGGTGTATTATACCTATCATTACATAAACGTAATTTACTATCACAGATTTACAATAGCGCTGAAAAAAATGTAGTTTTAGGATTCAATATTAATTAAATATATCTGAAAACAAACACAATCTGAACTCAGATTTGATTAAAGACAACATAATTTGAAATAAAAACTATAATTAAATTCCAGTATTCTGCTGGTGCATAAATAATATTGAAAACAACAACAACAACAACAAAAATGGCGAAATAAAGCTCCAAGTACTCATAAACCGTTAAACGAAACAGTTTATACAAAACTATCTATACTTATAAAAAAAATCAATAAACAAAAAATGTCGTTTGTTTGTTTGTTTGTTCGCGAACTACTCCATGGTCTTTGGACCAGTCTCAATCAAACTTGGTAGAATGATACATTGGACCCAGGGGCATGCCATACGGTGATTACTACACGGCCCCCACCAACCCTGGGCCACGCCCACAGCGAAAATATGTTTGTTTAGCTAATAACTCCACAGTCTTGGGCTAATTTTATTCCTAAAATGTTTACCCCTGTGGGACAGAGGTAAGTTTACGGACTTACAACGCTAAAATCCGGAATTCGATTCCTCGCGGTGGAAACAGCGGATGGCCCAATGTGACTTTACAATAAACAAAAACTTCCTAATTTGTTAATTTTGAGTCTTTTTTTTTAAGTTTTCCTTGGAAAGTTTTGAGTTCTTTCACTAAAA